TTCCATATTTTTTTAACTCCAGAATTTTTCAGATTTTAATTTTATATTTCTTAAGTGTTTGTAAATAAAAGTCTTTAATTTTTTTACAGATTATTAAATAAGCGTTTTTTAATACGTTTGTAATCAGGGTTTTCTAATGAACAATTTATAATTAAAAATTTAATTAGCATTTTTAAATAAGCAATTTTAATAAGCGTTTTTTTTTTGTCAAATTAACAATCTGGATAATCGCCTTTTAATAGCATTTTTAATGACCACGTTTAAAAGGTGCCATAATTAAGCACTATTTTCAATTACGTGTTCTGTAATAAACCTTGTCGATAAAAAAGAACTTATATATCCAATTTATTACGTTTATTTGGTTTAATTCTTTAGTGGTTTAACTGTAACTGAATAACATTATATCTAACTGTATTGAATTGTACGTCTTCAATTGTATTTTATTATTTTATTTAAGTGTATTGTACAAAAGTTTATTTCATGGTGTAACAATTTATGTCGTTGTAATAAATCGTGGTAGTGGCTCCCGTAGGCCTGGCGAGTGACGGGCTGAAGTTAGAAGCCACTCAACCTTGAACGATTCGATATGGCAGAGACTGTAACAACAACAACAACAACAACAACAACAACAACAACAACAACAGCAACAACAACAACAACAATAATAATAATAATAATAATAATAATAATAATAATAATAACAATAATAATAATAATAACAATAAAAAAAAAAATAATAATAATAACAATAAAATTATCACACCAAGCCGCTACAACAAGACCTTGTACACACACACACACACACACACACACACACACACACACACAGTATATTTTCGGGTTGAATAAATAGCTAATTCCTCTATCAGCGGGGAAGACGAGTTAATTCCACCTAATTAGTCTTTCCACTCTCCAGGTGATTAAATTTCTAAGTTTTATAAGAGTGAATTAAATGACTGAGTTACGGAATCTTGTCCACGAGCGATTGCCTGGAGAACTGCCTCCCGTCTCCACACGACAGCGGATAGATAGTAGAGAAGAGGAGTAATGAAGAAAGATGAGGAAACAGAAGAGAATGGACAAAAAAATAAGGTGGATATGGAGATTAGGAGATAAATAGAAGTGAATAAAGAAGAAGAGATAGTAAGAAGGAATACATAGAGAGAATAAACAAGAAAGATAAGGGAATAAGAATCAGTGAATAACATAAAAAAATGACCAATAAATTAGATAATAAGAATAACAAATAAAGATAAATAAACAATAAACAGTAAGTTACATAATCCGTGTAATATCATGTACTGTATTAATACATCACTTACTACACCAGGCTACTACTGTATTTTACTACATTTATTAAAAAACTTTCATCCTGTCACACACACATTTATACACACACATATACAACATACTTTCCAAACACAGAGTATGACGGGAGTGTGGTATATCTACTGCTGATATGTTCTGTATATACCTCGTCCCTCCCCTCCTCTCCCCTCTGTCCTCTCCCCTCCCCTCTGTCCTCCCCTCCTCCCTCCCTCCCTCCCGTCCCTTCCCTTCTGTCTCCTAAGCGCCCCGTGAAGCGCGTGCCCCGGAGGATATGTGGATGGAAAGTGTGATATTCAGTGGTATGTATGTATGTATGTATGTATGTATATGTATAGTATGTGTGTGTGTGTGTGTGTGTGTGTGTGTAAAGTAAGTAAATATGAAAAATATGCTTATATTTTTAGTTTATGAATCACATATTGATATGCAAGGGAGATAGAAGAGGAGAGGGAGAGTAGAGGAGGGAAGAGGAGGAGAGAGGAGAGGAGAGGAGGGAGGGAGGGAGGAGGGGGAAGGAAGGGAGGGAGGGAGGGAAGGAGGGAGGGAGGAAGGAAGGAAGGAAGGCACAGTTCCTTATAAGATACATCAATTTACCTGAAAATCTTACATCCTCAGGTAAAGTCGAACCTAACCTAACCTAATCTAACCTAACCTAACCTAACCTAACCTAACCTAACCTAATCTAACCTAACCTAATCTAACCTAACCTAATCAAACAGCAAATATAAAAATAACAGCCTCAGTGTAATTTGGGTGCCATTGTATGTGTCAGTTTTAAGCAAGAGATTCAATTTGCCAGTCAGAGTAGTTATTACGTCACGAATTACGAAAAATAATAGAGAGAGAGACACCAGTGAGAGAGAGAAACACACACGATTTACTCAGTAGGCATCACATTATACAACACACATATCATTCAGCTTCTCATGATCCACCTCCCAGCGTGATTCACCTCCCAGCGTGATCCACCTCCCACGTGATCCACCTCCCAGCGTGATCCACCTCCCGCGTGATCCACCTCCCAGCGTGATCCACCCCCCGTGACCCACCTCCCAGCGTGATCCACTCCCACCCAGCGTGATCCACCTCCCAGCGTGACCACCTCCCAGCCCCACCTCCCAGCGTGATCCACCTCCCAGCGTGACCCACCTCCCAGCACCCAGACCCACCTCCCATCTTCCCAGCGTTCCCAGCACCCACCTTCCCACCTCCCACTGTTTTACTGAATTTTTACGTTTTATCAACTTATTGTAGGAAGTTTAATTAATATATTTTTTTTATCTGGATGGATACTTTTGATTAAGTCACAACGTTGTGTTATTTTTATTATTAAGAAAATTAGAATAAAATCTGTAAAAAAAAAATAGTTGTTCAGTATTTTGTTTATATTATGAGTTTCCATTAGTAGAGTGTATGAATAGTGATATACATAGAGAAATACATGGAAAAATACATAAACACAGACACAGACAGACAGACAGACACACACAGACACACACACACACACACACACACACAGACAGACAGACAGACACACACACACACACACACACACACACACACACACACACACACAGACAGACACACACACACACACACACACACACAGACACACACACACACACACACACACACACACACACACACACACACACACACACACACACAGACAGACACACACACACACACACACACACACACACACACACTCCCTCCCTCTGGACAAACACACAAGCAGAATCACAAACTCATCACCAAAAAATAACACAAGAAAAAAAAAATACGACAGTGAGGAAAAAAAAAAGTTTCAGAATATTTATAACACTTGATCAAGAGAACACCCAACGTCACCCCCGGGCAGTAGTGAACAAAAAAAAATAACAAAAATTGAACAAAAAAGGTGGGAATAGAAATGAGAAATAAAAATGTGTTAGGAGGGAGTGAAGAGAGATGAAGAGAGAGGAGGGAAAAACACACAAGTTTCCCCCAATAATGGTCTACCTTCTCTTTCCCTTCCCTTCCCTCCCTCCCTCCTTATCCTTCCCCCTCTATGTAACTTAATTCCCCTTTATCCCCCCTCTCTCCATTGTCACCCTTATTCCCTCCCTTCCTCTTACCCCTTACACCCCTTTCCCTAACCCTCTTTGCCTCTCCCTCCCATCACCTTTTCACCACCACCATCAACCATCCTCCGACCCTCTCCACCCCTCCCTTCCCTTTCCCACCATCCTCCCCTCCCCACCCACACCCCCTTCCCCCCTCCCTTCCCTTCCCTTCCCATCAGCTGAAAAAATCAAACGGACTGTGTATAAAATAAGTGGCAGATAAAAACACTGGTTGGCAGCAGCAGTATGAATAATATCTCCTGAATTTTCCTCTCTACTGCACAGGCTGAGAGAGAGAGAGAGAGAGAGAGAGAGAGAGAGAGAGAGAGAGAGAGAGAGAGAGAGAGAGAGAGAGAGAGAGAGAGACATATCCACCCAACCATTAAGACCTTCCACCCATCACCCATGACAACCCCTACCGAGGTCAGCGCGAGGTCAGCCAGCCTTGTGCCGTGACCTGGGTTGGTTTGGCGGGTCACGTAGCACCATCAGGCGAAGGTCAGCGTTCTGTGGGAAGGAGGGGGTGGGCGTTTCGACGGATGACCTCGTTTGACCGATCTGACGGAGGCAAGAACTGAGAACGTGAGGAGGGTGGGTTGTGGTTATGGTGGTTATAGACCTTGTTGTGGGTGAGAGGGGGAGGTGGGGGTGAGAGAGAGAGGTGGTGGGAGAGGAGAGTCTATTGGGAATAATAATAATAATAATAATAATAATAATATACATCAACTCACACTTCCTCCATCACCTCACGTAGAAGCCCTGACCTGAGTTGGCCCTGAGCGGTGGGTGACGTGGGGTGCCGGGGGGTGCCAAGGAGGGGTGGTAGGAGGCCAAATATTGATGGGTCAAGTAACTAATGAAGAGACGCCATACAACAATTATATCATTGCTCCCTCGCTGCCTTCCTCCCAAACCTCGCCTTCGACTTTGGCTTCATCCACATACGCCACGAATTCAAGGCTTCGTTTGGGTGTTCGAGATTCATATAAAAGAAAACGAAATAAATAATTATGTCAAGAATGTGATGTGATAGAACAAGTGATTCGGATAAATGACGTCTTATAGTAATTACGTCATTGGTTCAAGTCACAAACTTCCTTCCGATCCTTGCCTCAGACGCTGGTTTCGGCTTAATTGACATGTTCAGGTAAATACGGTCACTAAGGCAAACTTTCACTCAAATCAAGTTAAAGTTTATATTATACTAAGTTTAAACATTATAGCACGTATGATAGTTAGGTAAACATTGATAATTTAATATAATTTCGCAATCTAGTTCCATTATGTAAGAATGAGATACATGATATCCAGCAACCAATCAGATCAAATCTTGTTTATGACGTCATGAATGCCGTCACGACCACTAGCCAATAGTTTCAAAGGATCGTAAGTTATACTATATTTCGTAATGGATAAAGTTACGTTATCAGAACATTAATAACTAGTCAATAAAGAAGAAAATTCCTTTATTAGTTAATGATATATCAACCTAATTGCCATTAATGTTCGGATATTATCATAACATTAATCACAAAATATTGCCGAGTAAGAGCCAGTAAGACTGACTGGCACCCATAGCCACTGGCACCCATAGCCACTGGCACCCATGACCACTGGCACCCATCTTACCCTCTGGCTTGGTCACTTTCGGACACACAACAGCGAGTGACAACCATTAACCTGATTGATCAACGCCAGGAGGGAAACACACACACACACACACACACACACACACACACACACACACAGAAAAAATAATGAAAAAGAATGAAAGTTTCCATTGTTGTCGAGATCCATTTTTCACGGTGGTGTTTGATCAATGGTTTTCGTTGACCGACGTTCTTGGTTAATAGGTCACCGACGTCCACCTGACCTGACCCAACCTGACCAGACCACCTACCCTACTACACTATATACCGAGTGTTTATAAAAAGCAAATATATATATATATATTTTTTAACACAATTACTGTACAGTATAAATTTCTAGCTGTCAACATACCACCATTTTATCACATTCATACAGGAAATAGAAGCAATAAGTGAAACACGGCTGGATGACACCGTAGAGTTTATGGTAAGTCTGAAGAGAGAGAGAGAGAGAGAGAGAGAGAGAGAGAGAGAGAAGACGAACAACCTTGGTCTAACACAACACAAATCGGGTGTCGGATATTTGACCCCACAAAATTATAAGAATTAATTTTATGGCGTGACATGAACGCTGGTTGTGAGGTGTGTGGGAGAGAGGCACACGTTGGCACAGTGACAGGTGTGTTGGTGGGGAAAACAGATGAGGTCCTGTACAAGTAGTGGCACTGTATTAAGTGTGCTTCGACAAGTAATATGACTGGTGGTAGGGGCAGGTGGTAGTGGTCAGGATGGTGGTGGTAGAGGTGATAGGTGGTGGTGATAAGGGATGGTAGTGTTGGTGGTGGTAGGGGTGGCACCGTGGGAAGGTAGAAGCTGCGGCCCAGCTGTTGGCACTACTCAAGATAGCACTACAAAGGCCAAGAGGGGAGACGATGCCATTTATCTGGTGTCAGTGTTGGATAATATAAAACCACTAGCCTGGGTGACTCCCCGACCGTTCTCTATCAAACTCGCCTCCTCTTCCTCTTCCTCTTCCGCGCCTTCCTCTTCCTCTCCTCCATTTTCTTCCCCCTACTTATTTCTCCTTTCCTTTTTCGCTTCATTTTTCCCCTCCCTCCTCCTCCTCCCTCTCCTTTTCTTCCTCCTCCTCTTTTCATTCCTTCCATCTTCCCGTTGGTGATGACGTCACAATAGTTGATGATGATGTCACCACGTTAGAGTACATCAGGTCAGGTCAGGTCAGGTTAAGTTAGACGAGAGTAGGTTATCGGGGTATACCTGCATATACAGTATATATACACGTTTACTCCTCTCAGCACCACAACACAGCGGGTGTAATAAGTTACATTGAGACTGACAGATCAATCGTGTACGCCTGGCTGAGTCGAGGTGCCGTGTCTCCCTGAACCACCTGTGTGTTGATGACTGAACCACCTGTGTGTTGATGACGAACCATAACTATACACAACACTACAACCATCACCACAACAACAACACTCACCACCGCAGTCGTAACCACTACCACAGTCACAACCACAACCACAATCATAACCACTACCACCATTACCACAATAACCACCACCACCACTAACACAATCATAACCACTACCACCATTACCACAATAACCACCACCACCACCACTACTACCACAAGCTCACATTCTCTCTTATTAAAAGCCTCAGAAAAAAACCCCGGTAGATACTTTTACACACACACATTACTGCGTTTAGCGCGCCATACTCTCTTCTGCCTGAGTCTAGCTAAGTCTCCCCTGGGATGCCTCTCTCTTAAGCCAAGCACTTATACAGAAAACGGGCGTTACCTTATCACAATAATACCAAGATTCACAGAGATTATTACGTTAATTTTACCCTCTTACCTTCCCTTAACTGTGTAAGTAAGGGTAATTAGAGAAATTAACTTACGATATTTAATAATGTGGATTTAAAGATTTACTTAAGTTGCTATAATTAAAGATTCACTTCATAATGTATTATCTATTTAAGTGCTTTATTTTATTAATTCACTTAAGTTGGCTCAAAACTAAATAAGAGACTCTATCATAACTAACTCTGTCATTACCTATTAAAAAACAATAAATGTCTTTAAAAAATCCGGATTCAGAAGGATTTTTGTCTCACGAACGTCAACAAACAAGGTAAGGTGAGGTAAGATGGAGCCACGTTAGCTAGCTTGTATTATCTTTTCAGTGGTGTAGCTCCGTGGTTCACAGTAAATACCTTCGTAGTGCCGTGGTTCATGTTAAGACAATCGTAGTGCCGTGGTTCATCGACCTCTCCGCCAGCTGCAACAATTAATTCACCTCAGGTACATGGCGCAATAATTTAAGTGGCAGATATGTAACACGAGACCAAATTTGCTGTGTACGGTCGAGTTGCGCGAAATTCTAGACTCGCGAAATTATTTACGTATTGTTATTTTCTACATTTCACGATTTTCTGCTGTACACCTCTAGGACCTTCTTCCTTCTCCTCTTCCCATCCTTCCCTTTCTCTTGCTTCTCCCCCTCTCCTTTATACCACCTCCTCTTCCTAGCCCTTATCCCTTTTGCCACGTCTTCCACCTCTTCCTCCACTTTCAATCCTTCTTCCACTTTCTTAACACCGCATTCCTCTCCCTTCGTCCTTCTCTCTCTTTTTCTCTCATTCTTTTACCCTCCTCCTCCTCCTCTCTACTTTCACCTATCCCCCAGCCTCTCCATAATCTACTCTTCTCCTTTCTTCCTCCTCCTCCTCCTCCTCTCCATTCGCCACTCTCTCTCCACTTCCTTCCCTTCCTTCACCCTCTCAACGCACTCCTCCTCTCTCCCCCTCTACTCTCCCTTCACTCTCACCACTTAAACAATTAGGCATTAATCTAGCTCTTCATTAGCCTAAAACTTAATTTCGAGAAAACTGTGTTGGCTGAAAATATTCCACAGTGGACAAGAGTTAGTGAGAGAGAGAGAGAGAGAGAGAGAGAGAGAGAGAGAGAGAGAGAGAGAGAGAGAGAGAGAGAGAGAGAGAGAGAGAGAGAGATGACAACCATTCCATAACAAACTACAAGTGCTAACCTCCACATTCTCAGAGACTATCGTAAGTTACAATTTATCCCCTTAACCGTAAATAAGAGAAAATTATCTCTCTAGTTTAGGTATAGTCTCAGTGTCGTTATTACCGCCATTTTTACATTATCTTTCGCTGCATTTTATAGTGAGACAATTAAGTTCTCACATCTTAAGGAAAAATCGAATCGTATGTTATTTTTTTTTTTAAGAATTTTACTTTGTATTGTAGGTTAAGTGCGCAAGTTATATTCAGTCAAATAAGTCGAGTTAAGGGAGTTTATAAACGTAAGTAACTTCAAGAATCTCTTTTGGTGTTATACGGTAAGATAGTATGCTTTTAAAATTCTCAATTAAAGATAAACAAATAACTATCCTATGAACCTTTAAGATCCCAGTTTTGCCAAATTAAGGGAATCAGTTAAGATACATTTTCCATCCCAAGTTAAAGTGAAAAACATTAACACACGAATTTTTAAGAATATTTATCCTGTTAGTTAAACCATTTAATATTTTATCCCATTTTTAGCTAAAATAAAAATAAAAACCCCTAAATTAAAATAAACCAGTTAGAAACATTCCTATTTTTAGTTAGTAAAAAAAAATCTTAACTTTATATGTTTTAAGAATATTTTGCTCAGTTAAATATTTTTTCCAATTTTGGTTAAAGTGAAAAATAAATAAAAACGTAAACTTGCGAACCTTTGAGACCCCATCCCCCCCTGCACACAATATCCTGGGAGCCATCGCAGGTTGAGTGAGGAAAAAAAACAACATTCGTCGTATGTAAAGTTAATTTTGTAGGAGTGTTCAGCTGCCGAGAAATAGTGATGAAATTGGTTGTGTGGTTGTCCTGTGTTGAGGTAATCTGCCTGAGGTCGTGGTGAGGGGAGGGGGGGGGGTTGTGAAGGATGGGGGGGTTGAGGGTGATGGGAGGAGGAGGTAAAGAGGGGGTGAAGTGGTGAGGGGAGGTGATTTGGAGGAAGAGTGGTGGGTGGGTGCAAGGAGGGGAGGGGTGGGGTGAAGAAGGAGGGAGGGTGGGAGGGAGGGGGGCAGGGGTTGGGGAGGAGGGTGTTGTGCAGGGTTATGGGAGGAGTGGAAAGGAGACGGGGTTGAGGGTTGAAGGGTGGGGGGAGGTTAGCAGCGGGGGGAGGAGGAGGTAGTGTGTAGAACAGGGTGCAGTGAGGAAATGTGGTGTATAAGAGAAGGGTGAAGAAGAGAAGAGGAGGAGGAGAAGAAGAGAAGCGAAATAGAAGCAGGACGAGGAGGAGGAGGAGGAGGGGGGGGAAATGAGGAGGAAGAGGAGGAAAAGAGAGGAAAGAAGAAGAACAGGAAGAGTATAGGTGGAAACCCAGAGATGCAGAGCAGAAAGAAATACAAGAGGAAATGGAGGAGAAAATGATAAATATGATGAAAGGAGATACACTTACTGGGAAGGTATAGATGTATTATAATCATTATTATTATTATTATTATTATTATTATTATTATTATTATTATTATTATTATTATTATTATTACCAACGTTATAATCATCTTCAATAGCACAAACTTCACACTAGAGAAACATTCAATTAAACTCTCGATTCTGAGGAGATGGAAAAATGAACAGAAAACGAGCTCACACACATAAGGGGGAACTGCACTGTATCGTATGTTTTGGCAACAATGACGAACCGAAAACGAATTTCTTACTCTATTTGACGGTCATGTTGAGGATATTGTATATAAGACTTGTTCTACTGTCATCATTGCTTCAGTGTTTAGTAATTATTATTATTTTTTAATTGCTGTACGTGAGATAAGAGGAAGGAAGAGACGAGGAACTGCTTACTTAAAACACTTGTACTTGAGGATGTTTACAAGTCGACGGGTCATTATGTCAGTCACGGAAGAGTCTGACGTCATTTAATATAGACAAGCTTGGCGTCACGTATCAACAGACCAAACCTGACATCACCTAACAGACA